ACAAGACCAACAGCCATCTCTGCACATTCTCAAGGCTTTTCATTCCATGAAGCACTGTATATTGAAGAGGTAGTGGTGATTTCTTGCAGGTTTGTCAAGTTGAAGGTCCGGTTGACATATCGTGTGCGCTACATGGTAGTCAAGAGTCAGTCAAGACTCAAGTCAGGGGAAAGGTGCCAGCTCTAGCAACCACATTGAACAGCAGATCATTCCGGACGATCTGGAGGATGGACGTTTTTGTTGCTGTTTTTACTAGGGCTCAAACGGTTAGTCCGATTAACCGGTTGCAGACCGGTTACGAAGAATTAACGGTTAACCGATTGTTGTGTATCGTGTCGGAGAAAGGTCTTCTGGGGTGTCGTCGAGATTTCGTTGCGACCGTGACTCCTGCTTGTCTCCCTGGCTAGGTGCTGCTTGCTTTGCTTTTTTGCGTAGTGTTTTTGATTATTGTTTACTATTGCGTATTGTTAGTGTTCGTTGTGATTTGGTACAGTACTTGTTACGAGATACGACACATTGTGTAGTGTGTGTTTGCAGCGCGAAGAAGACTGCTCACCAGAACGGTTAGCTCAGGAGCTTGGGCTTACCTTGTGCAATCACAGTTCATCAGCTTGGACATTGCGCTTGGTCCCATGCGAATAACCGACTAGAATAGTAATTATTTCTTCGTTGCATTTTTGAATTGTGTTCTTGCTAGCTCGTTGATTTATTTAGTTGATGTGTTGATTTGTGTTTGATTACTTATTTATTTGATGCGCGATTTATGTGCGCTGATTGCGTGATGGCATGCAATTATGATCATGCTTGCGCCAGCTAGCTAGATGCCTGCGCCGCGCACTGATGTTGAATGAGTTAGCATGCGCCCCGCGCTGTTCATGCATATATGGTACATGGTGTGTAATGTTTGCCGCACACGCGTATAGGTGCCGCGCCTCGTACTGCTCATGTGCCTCGCGCCGTACTATTGCTGTCGCTTGGCCAAATTTAGCTTCCGCTTTCCGAGCGCTGTACGCTCTTCTGTACGCTCATGCCAAAGTTGGACGCACGTTGTGGCTGGCCAGCGCTTTACCCCTCATGCGTTGTTCTTTTCCTTGATGCTGTGGTTTGTTTTTCTTTAGTGTTCTAGAGTTCTCTTTCCGATGTAGTTCGTATTTTTCCAGTCTCTTCTTCTCAATGTATTCTACTGTTCATTCATTATAGTCCGTAAAGAATTACGTGACCTTTTGTCTTGTGGCGTCTGTGCGATCCTGAAACTTTTGAGGTGTTAGTAGTGAACACAACATTTTGGCGACCACGCCAGGATCGAGACGCGTGAACATGGATGAGGTAGAAGCGAAGCTGATCGCAAATGGTCAAGCTTATGGCTACACTGGAGAGGCATTGCGTACTTACGTAGAGGAGCGTATCGAGAAGCACGAGGAGAAAGTGCGTGCAGAAAGAGAGCGCGACGAACGAGCAGGAAGTAGATTGGAAAGGAAAGATGACGAGCAGCTGCTTGCGAGGATTGCAGATTTGGAGTTGCAAGTCCAGCACACACGAGAGACTCAGAGTGATGAGAGCACTTTGTTGAATACGACGAATGGCAGTTTAGCGAGCAAGAGGGCTGCCATCAAGATGCCGAAGTTCGACGGTAAGCAGACTGTTGAGACCTATCTCGAACTGTTCGAGGATGTGGCAAAGCAAAATGAGTTCAGCGACGACGAGTACCTGATCCGCTTGCGCGTGGCTGTTGCTGGCAGCAAGTTGGAAGGTGCATGCTATGGCTGCAACACCTTTGCCGAAGCGAAGCGCGAGCTGCTGATGGCGCATGGGAAGACCGCCGACAAAGCGTGGCAAGCCCTGATGGCCATACAGCAGAAAAGTGATGAGAGTTTCTACCAGTTTGTGGTACGAGTGACGCGCGAGACGGAGAAGTGGGCAAAACTCGCCAGGCCTAGCCGTACCTCTAGCCGCGGACAAATCGGTGAGCTGGACGACACTGAATTGTTCGGATGTGTCGTACGTCAAGTCCTGCTAGAAGCTGTGTCGGCAGAAACTAAGGCCTTCTTGATCGAGAAGAGATGTTACGCGAAGGACTTGAAGGCGTTTGCGGAGGATGGTATGGCTTACCAAACAGCCCACGGACGTAGCAAGCTGAAGCCTGCCAAGTCTAGCACCAGCGACAAACGTATACCGTTTGCGTCGGCAGAGTGTTTGACGGTCAGCGTTGATGATGCTAACAAGAAATTGTCAGCTATGGCGTCTGAGCACCGAAATGCGTACGTCAAGGCAGAGGGACTGTGTTTCAACTGCCTGAGACCAGGACATCGAGTGATGAATTGTCAGAACAAGGGTCGTTGCAAGCACTGCAACAAGCGACACCACAGTCTACTGCACAGAGAGGACAAACAGGTAACATCCGAACCGATAGCCGAATCGAAAGTCGGTACGTATGAATGTAGTGCAAACAGCGTGCACTTGATGACCGGCGTGGCTGAGGTACAAGGACCTAGCCGAAAGGCCAGTGTACGCATATTCATCGACCCAGGTGCGCAGGCATCGTTCATCACCGCACCACTGGTGAACTCGCTGCAACCGGCACACCTTGGATCGCAAACTGTTAGGCTGAAGGCGTTTGACGTGGAGCCGAAGTTTGAAAAGATGGACAGGTACCGTGTCACCATCAAGGGTGCAACGAAGTCCATTTCCGTCAATGCCTGGCAAAAGAAGTCGCTAGGTCTCCGGTTCGATCCGTTAGCAGACAGCACAATTGCACGTTGGCAGTCACAGGGATTGCAGCTGTCTGATGACTCGACAAAGGCCGGATCAAGCGAAGTGCACATGCTGATTGGAGCTGACTACTGCAATGAGTTCCTTCTCCGCAAGGAGCAAATCAATGGAGAGACGGCCTGGCACACTGAAATAGGCTGGGTGCTGTCAGGACCGGCTAATAGTGAAACCAAGTCAGCGACCGTCAGTGTGAGTTGTATTGAACTTGACCGACTGTGGAAGATGGAAGAGGTGCCGGAAATAGCTGAGACGTTACCGGACTTCCCGATAGAGCGGCAAGGCCCTCATTACCAAGTGGGATTGCTATGGCGATCTGAGAAGCGTCCGCCAGCCAACCTCAACCAAGCGATGGCAGCGGCACAATCACTGCTGAAGCAGCTACAGAGACGAGGTCAACGTCCAGCGTATGATGACGTCCTCATCACTGAGTACTTGAAGCTGGATGCCGTTGAAAAGGAACCGCATCCGGAGGAAGCCGGCTATTACATGCCGCATCATGCCGTATTCCGTAGCGACGCCTCAACGACGAAGACACGGGTCGTCTTCAATGCATCCGCCGCCTGCACCGGAGCACCATCCCTAAACGACATGGTCGATCCCGGGCCATCACTCCTACCGGATCTCACTGGTATCCTCCTCAGGTTCCGTGAGTATGAATGTGCTGTACAAGCCGATATTCGCAAGGCTTTTTTTATGATCGGAATGCGTGAAGAAGATAGGCCATATCTGCGTTTTGTTTGGCCTGAGATAGGTAGCGAAGAAATGTGTATCTGGCGTTTAAAGAAGCTGCCTTTTGGAGTGAATTGTTCTCCTTTCATACTTAGTGCTGTGCTGCGCTTTCATCTCGATAGTGCATTCGAGTCTGCTTCTGCTGCTGAGCGTGATATCATAGAGCTGTTGCTGCGTAGTTTTTATGTTGATGATTGCGTTTCTAGCTTGCCATGCTGTGCGGATGCTGAAAAGCTGCAGGAGTATAGCATTAATGTTTTGCAGGGAGCAGGCATGGAGTTGCGGAAGTGGCGAGGGAACACGATGACCTCAGACCCCGAGGCTGGTTCCAAGGCACTGGGTATTGTGTGGAACACCGAGTCAGATTGTATTTCGGTGGCTGCGCTCGGTGATGTTGAGTGTCCCAAGGAAGTGTCTGGTTGGTCTCGTCGTGCTTTGTTGCGTTGTGTTGCCGCTGTGTTCGATCCGCTAGGTTGGGCGTCACCCGCAGTTGTGCCAGGCAAGATGATGTTGCAAGAGAGTTGGAAGCTCGGCGGTGGTTGGGATGACCCATTCCCTATTGATTTGGCTGTCCGATGTGCTTCATGGTGGGGAGAGCTCGCAGCGCTTTCTTCCGTTAAAATCCCCAGATGGATCGGGTGTACTCCAGATGCTCCAGTCACGTTGCATGTATTCTCAGATGCATCCGAGAAGGGCTATGGCTGTTGTTTCTATGTTGTGTCCGGTTTGACGTCTTCCTTGTTGTGTGCGAAGGCGAAGGTTGCACCTGTTGTACGTCCCACTCTTGCGCGTCTGGAATTGTCGGCTGTGTGTCTTGGCGTGAAGATGTTGTCCTTTGTCGTCAATGAATTGAGAGTGCCAATTGAAAGGATTGTGGGGTGGACAGACAGCCTAACCACATGGCACTGGATCTCAAAGCCGTCGTATCACTGGAAGACGTATGTTGCTAATCGAGTTGCTGCAGTGCAAGAAGTTTCGCAGAAGCTGCAAGTAGAATGGCGTCACTGTCCAGGAGTTAGCAACCCTGCAGATCTTGTCTCGCGTGGTGTCCCAGTGTGTGACTTGCAGAAGGAGATGTGGCTGCATGGTCCGTCATGGTTGAGCGATGAGACTCAGTGGCCACCAGTCATCTCGTTTCAGAGCACCAATGAGTCCGTCACCGAAGCACGTGTGTCGGCTGTGGAGGTTGACACTCCAGTTGTTTGGCCGTGGGAGAAGTTCTCCAAGTGGCAACGAGCTCGCGGTTTGGTCGCAAGTATGCTGTCATGGCGACACAAGGGTGTTTCGCGTGCAGAATTGATTCCATCTGCTGAGTCTGTGATGTTTCGCGCCATCCAAGAGCAATGCTTCCCCAAGGAGTTGTCCCAGTTGCGGAGCAAGGAGCCACTGAAGAAGGGTTCGAAGCTGTTCAAGTTGTCTCCGTTTCTGGATGAAGCTGGTTTGCTCAGAGTTCGTGGTCGTCTGCAGGAGAGCGATCTGTCCTACGAGGTTCAGCATCCGAT